AAATAAAATAAATCTATATATATGTATGTACTGTGCAGGTGTGTGCCTGCACATTCTCCTACTGCCACCTCCCTCAAAAAAAAGCTGGGATTGTACTTACCCTGAGCCCAGGAATGAAGTCTCCTCTTTTGAAGTAGTCAGTGCTGGCTGCAGCTCTTTCAACGGAAGTTCCCATTCCATACCGGTTGTTCTCACAGATAAAAATGCAAGGCAACTTCCATAAGGCAGCCATATTGTACGTTTCAAATATCTGGCCCTGAAAGAGAAAGAGCAAGTTACATCTAGACAGGGAGCTCAGCCTCCAAGCATGAGGCTCTACTGAAAACCATTCAGTTGCAGAGGTCAAGCTAGGAGAAATTTTAATACTGAAAGTGATCTGAAATCAGCCACTTGCTGCAGCTCAGCAGGTATAAAAGAAAAGCTACGCTATGTAAGGTAATTTTCATATCCATTAATAGTTTATATGACTTAATTGTTAAACCTATTTCAGAGTCTGTGCTAGGGTAGCATAAAACCTTCAAGTATTTCAGTAACAGTCATAAAAAATTTCATTATTAATCTGGCAGGATGCTGATACAGCAAAGTAAACAAAAAGTTGAACCACAGCGACTGCATCAGCCTTCCTACTGTAAGCTAAAGACAGGGAAAACAAAGAACTGAGATCTCCCCCTGTGATTTGAAAGTGGGAAATTATACCAGTGGTACACTCTAAACCACCAGTTTCTTATCTGGCTTAATGTCTCTGCTGATAACATGAAGAGGCTGGAATGTCAACAGTAAGTGTCTCTGCAAGATACCTGTCATCTCCTCTGTTTTCAGAAATTAGTTACATGTTTCTCCCTATTTAGCAGCACTGTCCTCTTCACTGCTATTGTTCAGAGCTCTCCTTACAGCAGAGAGGCTTCAGGGCATCACACTCAGGTGAGCCATGCGCAACTGGAAAGAGGGTAACAAGAGTAACTGGAAACCCCTTCTCTCATGACTCGTGCAGTGTTCACATAATTAACCATTAGCCCCACTCAGTCCCTTGGTATCTAGGGCACTTCAAGAGAGAAGGAGCTGAGAAGCTTTCCTCCACTCAGGAGACAAGAGCAGAGTTCAAAATGGGGGCAGGGAAACACAGGTCCAAAGCATGATGAAAAAATCCAAGGACATGCTACATTCCTGATATGTACAGTGCATCTAGCAATTCACTGTTCCCCTGAATCGCCCCTCTGAGGACTAGATGGAACTTAAATCCACTCCTACTCAAATGTCTAAACACGAGTAAGATGTGCTGGTGTCCAGTTGCCCAGTCACCTACACAGAGTTTGTCTCAGCGAACAGCACTTCACAACAAAAGCCGTAAGAAAAACTGCAGCGGGCTGCAGGAGTGAGGGCATGCACTGTCTTCTCCCTCCAGGATTGCTTTTGCAGCGTCAGTGGACTCCTTTAATAAAGCACCCTTGCGGCAGCAAGCCCAACACAACAATCTTAGCACAAGTCCCAAGCCAGACCCTGCCGAAGGTGCAGGTACCACACCGACAAGGTGCCAGGTGCTCTCCCACTGCCCTGTGGAAAGGCAGAGCTCACAGTGCACAGAAGGGAAATTGGTTGCTCACAGTCACGCTCCTCCTCACAGAGCCACCCCAGACAAAGCTCATTTACCTGATTGGCTGCACCGTCCCCATACAACGTCAGACAGATTTCGTTTTTACCGAAGTATTTACAGGCCAGCGCAATCCCAGCTCCAAGAGGAACCTATCGCAGGGTACAGGACACACCAAAGTTTTAGAACAATGTACAGAGGAGCTGGAGACAGGCAGCTTGTGAACTGTGAAGTGATATTTATAGTTACGAGATCTGCTCAACAAACAAGCTGTTACCAACCCACTTGTTTGTTCCACTCTGTATGACAGCCAAAATATAAACATTAATTATATTCTCAATTGGATTTCTTTTTGCGACAGTTAACAAAATGGTGAACAAACCAGAACAAAGACAAAGCAGATTTAACAGCCACAGAGCAATAGTACCTGCACACAAGTTCATGCCACAAAACCTGAGAAGAAACACTGGCACAGGACATGAGCCAAATTCAGCTTGTGCTTTAAAGTAGAACTCCTGTAGTAGAACTCACCTGAGCACCAACGATACCATTGCCACCATAGAAGTTTTTGGTATACATATGCATTGATCCTCCTTTTCCCTTCACACATCCTCCTTTTCGACCTGAAAATGAACAAGCAGCAATTTATTTTCTCCTGGAGGAAAAATACTAATAAAATGGGAATATCTAATTCAATTCCTAAAGGTAACACTAAGACTATATTGTTGTCCTTAGATCTACGTGGAGTTAAGACACAATAGCCCCTCCTCAGAGAGTTTACAGTTAAATACATCACAAACGAAACAAGAGAAGGAAAAAAAAAACCAGAGTATGACAGCGAACACAATTCAGGAAATGAAAAGAAGATTAAGAAGAAATTTTTAACTCAACCAAGAAGTTTCAGTGTCCTGACAAATATCTGTTGTTTTCTTCTAATAGCCAACATGGTCTATATTTCTCATATAAGTAATCTGTATGAAGTATTTACAGTCCTTATTACTTTTGGCTTCTGCAAGAAAGATATGAACGCTGTTCCAAATTACTTGCAACAGTCTGCACGTTTTCCCTGTGACAATAACCTGAAGTAAAAACTACAGATAGAACATTTAAAAATAAAACAACACAAAACCCCAAAAAGACCCCAAACAACAAACAACTGCCTGTAGTGCCTCAGGATAAACATCAAAAAGTCACCTAGCCCAACTTCATTCAGGCTGTAGTCTGAAGATAACTGCTGGTCCAAGAAGCATTACAACAAACTCTATTAAATGAGCTGATGTAAGAACACAGAATTTCTCATCAGGACACTCCATTTCTTATTCTAATTTGTCTTCTTAACAGCCACAGAAGCTTCTATTTTATTTCTAATAAACACAGCTTGTTTGGCTGGGTTTTTCTTTTTGCCTTGGCATTTATTTTAGAAGTTGAGTGCTTGATCTCTTTCTAGAATTTGTACTTCTCTTTCTCACCTACTAGTGGACAATTTTTATTACTGGTCTTTCTTCTACCTTCCATATGCTTATGAATTGGTTTGATGTGAGCTTTTATAGATTCTGTCAGCTAGAGTCAATGCAAAAGAAAATAAATTCTGATTTTAATCAGAAGACTGTTTCTCTTATGTGTAATTAAATTCAGTAAACCTCCACTTGTTGTACAATCCCTTCTTGTATTCTAGCTAAGAACTCCTGATTTACCACGGACACTTTTTGTTATACTTTCTACTTTCCTTAGAACAATGTGCCTTGATGTCCACAAAGCCATTTCTCAGAGAATCGTCGTTCTCCTGAAAAGTCTTTCTCCATAGTTTGTTTCCTTTATGATCTTATCCACTAGTCTTTGGGCGACTGCTTCCTGCTCCTTCAAAGACTTTTGGATTCTGTAATTTTCTGTCACTGCAACTCAGGCTGTCTTTCAGTTCGATGTTTTCAGTCAAGATCTTTCTTTGCAACAATCAGCTCTAGCAGCACTGTTCTCTAGAAACTTGCCCCAAGTGTTGTTTCTTGGAACAACAGCCTCTGTACTGCAGCAGCTCTTTCCCAATTAAAAGAACCCCACTGAAACAAAGCATAATCCTACAGAAGATGATGGGTGTTGTGATAAGAAATTAATACAATCGCTGATATTTGTAGTTTCAGGGCCAACTGTCATGACTGAAATCTACAATCTCTTTATGTACTGTCTCCCTTATCAGTACCCCGTGAAACTTGGCAAGTCCAAGAGCACCAGACTCTGGGCTTCTGTGCACTTTATTAATATGCATTCTTAACACACACATACGTTCTCAGTGTACAAAGCCATACCTCTTCTCTACCTTCAAAATGTGCTTTCCTGTATTAATGTCTCAAGCATGAGAATTCTCAGATCAAAATTTTATTATACAAATCATTCAGAAAGGCCTTCAAACTCCTTGTGCATTTTTCACTTCTGGCACCTGCTCACAGTTTCAGCAGGCTGATCTACTCCTCTCTGACCCCATTGTGAATAACCATCTCTCCTTTCCACAAAATCTTTGATCTGTCTACATTACTATTCAGTTTACCATTACAGCCAGTATCTACCAGTCTTCCCAAGACTTCAGCAGTTTATTTCTGAAAATCCACGCCTGTCTCCTATGGAGGGTAATGCCCTGTCCTGTCGAGAATAAAGTCTACCACCAGCAAGCTTCATTTACATAAGCTGCTGTGGCACAACAAATACAGCATACGGTATCAAGAATAATTTTCTAAAGTTGTGCTTTAGAGGTACCAACACATAAACAGTCTTTATGACTTATGTTTTATTTTAAAAAAAGTGACTGAAATGTAAAATTATAAAATAGATTTATTCTGCTACATCACTAAATGGCTTCCAAAGTCCCAGTATACTTTATGCATCGACATTATTTTGAATTGGAATTTAAAAAATTCTGCCACAAGTACAGCAGCATGCAAATCCTCATTTTACTTAGCACAAACCTGTAAGTTCAGCAAGAATCTCTCGAACAGGCACTCCTCGTGCATAGGTAAAGCCGTGAGCTCTGTAAGCTGTTATCACATGGTCTGTAGGCTGTATGGCAGCTTCAATCCCCACACAGCAAGCCTCCTGTTGCAAAGGAGTAAAGAAAAGCACATAGTTTCCACAGTCAGCAGTGTGGCAAGGGCTAGCTCTGGTCCCAAATACTTCCAAGTATCAGCAGAAAACAGGAGCAGCACAGATACAGGGGACTGCCTTAAAGCCCATGGTGTGACAAGCCTGTGTTTGCAGAACCTGGAGCTACAACAGCCTCAGGCTCTAAATTCCACTCTGTCCTGATTCCGACTAACAAAAGTAGGTAGGAGGGGAACCAGAGCTGCAAAGGTCTGCAGACTTTTTTCTACACTCTTCTCCCATATGAAGCATCCAAACAACTGCAATTCAAAAATGGCAGAGGAAAATGGACAGATGGTAACGTTTCACTGAGTTCATGAAGTTTCTTCTCCTGGCTGTTGCTTTTTAGTGGGCACACGATCTATGAGACACTGAAACAAAAAACATCAATGAAGACAGAGGAGGATGTGGGCCTCCAAACTTGGTGAACTTAATGTGCTGCAGTTGTTCATTCCTCACATTCAGCTGATCTTCAGCTGCACTTTGCCTTCTCTCATTTTCTGCTGCTGTCCCAAGATCTCACATGATACCCCTGTGTGCTCAGTCACTGTTTTTAAAGAAATAATGAATTAAATCATGGATCCAGCTACAACTTCAGCCATTGCTGACAGATTCTCAGTTCCAACAGATTTACTCTCCACTCTATTCAAACCCCTACATTAAGTAAGGTAAGACAGTGTAAAACCTCTTGTGGAAAAATAAAAATCTTACCTGACCATCATACAAGTGGCAGAAGCCACGAATAATCTTCTGCTTGTACAGCTGGTCAGACTTCAGTTCCATGCGCCGTATCATCTGCATTGTCTTGTAGTAATGGAGCCCCTCCTCTCGAGTCATCACTGCTGTGGTACTAGGGCCTTCTTCCAGGCGATGGAGGTCGCATGGCTGCAAAGTTGAACAAGTAGTCATTTTGTGAAAATAATCCTATTTATGAATAGCACTTATTTTTTTATGTGTCATTTTTTAAATCCAGATTTTAATATCTTTTCAAAAAGCCAGCAAAACCTAAATTCTCAAGTGAAAATAACTGCAAAGTTTCTGCACTAATTCCAAATTCAGGGAAATAAAAATTTTACTTTAATAAAGACAGACTTCCACTCATGAAATTAAGCCTTGCAGTTCATCTACTGCTAGTAGGAACTAAAGTCCTCACAAAACAGTGGAAAAGCACATTTCCATGGTTGCTGCATGCCAAATACTTGTAAGATCTATGGAGGCTTAGTGAAGAAACAATATAGTTTACTTTGTGAAACAGTTTGTAAGATCTGGTCCTAAGGCTGGACTTCACTTCTTCTACCACCACTTCTAACTAGCAGTAATAAACCACTGTTGCACCAGCGATCCTGCCAGTCAAACCATAATGTGTACAGTACAACTTCCTCCTCAAACCATGGTTGCAAGGAGGGCTGATTTTTGGTACTCATACAAAACAAAAATTAAAAACAAAAATTTCAGTGGAACAGACCAAACAAATTACTCTGTCAGTACATATTAAGTGGCCGAAATACTGCTATAGAGATTAAAGACAGTTTATATTAAAGCAAAGCCTCTCCAGAGCAAATCCACTGACACCAAGGTGAATTTGATGTAACACACATGCACACTACTCTTACGACAGCTCTGCTTCAGAGTTCACACAACAACAGAAATGCAGGAGCCTTGCATGCACAGGATCAAATGTTAAACCTTACAACCAACTCAGAAAAGACTTCTCATGTAAACACACTTTCCCTGCCTTCTGCCCATGAAACCACTTTAATATTTTACAGGCAGGGACAAACAGGGAGCAGGTAAATGCAAAACTAAATTTATTTCAGAGTTTCTTTTATCCATTGCTGAATGGAATGCCAGCACAAAAGCTACTGCCAATGGAAGCATTGCTTTTTCCTACAATCCAGCCACTATGGAAAGCTGATAGAATATAACACATTTTTTTGAGTGGCACCAAGTCAGGCATTAAAAAGGATGCTGTATTTTTTCCTCCAAAATCCATATGGACCTAAATCAGCTACACATCTGGTATGCAGCACCCATGACTCCGTAAACAAAAGGGAGATGGAAAGCAGGGCAGGCAGCAAATACCAGCTATTTGTTTCAAAATCATTAAGGAAACATTAATAGTCTTCCTTCAGACCAGAAAAGGTTCTTCAGCTCCTTTGTGACTCCATTCTCACTGTTGCATTGCAGTATCACAGCTGCAAATAATCACAACTTCACATTCTTAAGAAACAAGTAACACTACTACATACTGCCAAGCACAGGACTTCCAGCTGCATTTAGAAATCAGGTCAGACAGCAAGGAGTTTGGTAAATTTAATAATTTAATTATATATTCACAGAATCACACACAGAATCGCTCGGTT